ACACCATCATTTTTGTCATCAGCCTTTCTTTTTAACGTCTATATAAATAGAGAACAATTGCATTAAAATAAGTTCATGCCTATCGAATATGAAATTTTACCTCATGTTCTTCCAGTGTTAATGTTGTGAACACAAATTTGCTAGGATTTATTGTTTTAACACCAATTTTATCTGGTGACGTATTTACATCAGTGCTACTGTTTTTAACCGAACAAATTGTTTTTGTTAATGCCGTTTTATTCCGTAATAGAAATGAGCTTCTCGCCTTTGCGCTTTCAACTTTGATAAGCTCTTTTGATATTAAAAACGGTGATTTCTCTTTTTCTTCCACTCCTTCAATTCTAGATTTAGACATAGTCACGATTGTTATGTTTTTAATGTCGCAAGTCTTGGGAGTAGAAACTGATGTATTTGCTTCTATGGAAATCTAGAAAGCAATTTTTATATTTATTCTATAGTTGAGATTAAATATTACGTACTACCTCATTTAAAGTACTATTTTTTATTGCTTGCTCTCGTTCGAAACGTATTTTTCTCCATAAATGCTCGTTTTCATCGTCACTGCCTTCTTCGGGTTTGGAATCCATATACTGGTTTGCATTTGTTTCAAGTTTGAAAGCAGTGTCAAAATTTTTCCACCTAAATTTACGTTCTCGTTTAGCGGAATTATCTTCTTCGTCTTCAAAGAGCATTTCTTGTAATTTATTTACTTGTCGAATATCTTCGTCCAACATTTTACGCCTGAAAAGTGTGCGATGGGAAATAAAATATTTATTCTTGCTAAATATAACTCATATAAACGATTATCATTAATTTAAAACGACTACTTACGCGTGTATTTTTCCCAATTGAGCTCTGATTTCCTCTTTGTCGAATTCGTCTTCGTCGCCTAATTCAATGTCGTACTGATCCAAATTTTTTTCGTCCTCGTCAGCGCTTCCCCATTCGGATTCCGATAGTTCTGCTTCCTTTTCGAAGAAATTCTCAGCCTGGTCTACACGATCTTGCTTGGTCAATTCCACAGTTATTTCATTTTCTTCTGAATCATAATCAATATAAGTGGCGGGCATATCATCTTCGGCTAAGATATCTTCCTCCTCTTCGCCCGCCTGCTCAGCTTTGTCAGCTTCATCATCGGACTCATCATCTTCATCATCAGAAAACCCTAATTTCATATTTGATTTTTTTATAACTTTTTTTGTAAATTTTTTGGTTCTTGGTTTATTCGAACTAGAAAAATCTTCATCTTCACTTGATGAAACAATTTTACTGTAGATTTTGTCTTCTGCTGGTGCAACAGGCTGGGTTTCAAAAGTACCCGAACATAAATTTATTAATTGGTCCGTTTCCTCTTCTCTGTTCCCTATTTGTGTTTCAGGTACTTGACTTATTGTGGGCGGGCTATGGTGTTGCGACAAGTCAGAATCATCGCTGGGGAACTCTATTCGCCGCTTGATTTTTCCTTCTTTTTCGTCGTAATCTTCTTCCTCTTCTTCTGGTGCCGATAAAGGTTTTTGAGCTAAAGATATTTCTTCTTCATCAATTTCACCTTCAATATGATTCGTAGATTCGCGATCAGAT